TCAGGCCCAATTTGTTTTTTAGCTTCTTTGCTAGGACCACAAGCAGAAGTTTTAAAAATCAATTCCATTATGGGTTTTTTAATGATCTGGTCAGCTGAGTTCACCAAAGCAGCTTTCATAGAATACTGAACACCTGTCAAAGGATAACAACTTTTGAGAATTAAGTAACTGGATTGGATTTTCACTGAGAATAACTTTCCTTCAAAAGATGCCACCAAAAAATCAGAAGTCAGAGTCTCTCTTGAAACCAGCGTATGAGAGGAGACAGGTAGGAATCGAGGAGCCAGATGTAGTTCATAGAATTACTGAAAGCAGTCTGGAGACTCGAAGGACCTTTTCCCAGAGGAGAAAAGCTGAAACATAATATACTTCATCCTTAGCACCATCTACACCCTTCCCTCTGCACCAATAGCTGTACAGACCATGGTGTAGGAGATGGCTCTCCAGCTCTATGTCACTGTGGAGTTTCCTATGCTGGGGAGCCCAAAGCTAGGGCAAGAAAGCTGTCATCCAGTCTAGTAGGGATGGGGGAGGTGATCTACTCACTGCCATTTCTCCTCCCCTGGGCTGGAACCATGTCGCTGTGAGTGCAGAGAAGCGCTCTGTCCCTGCACTCACCTGCAGGCTTTCCCCCTACTGTTCTCATAGGCCGGGAATCATGGCCAATGTGAGCAGCAGAGGGTGGTGCGTGCAAGCTTAGGGTGACATGGAGCCAGCTGTCCCCCTACCTCCACATGGGAGTTGCTTCAGGTAAGTACCCCAATCCTCTACCGCCTCCTGAACCTTCCCTCCCAGACTCTATGCCCTTACCCACAGCCCACTCCTGACTCCTATCTTCCTCTCAGACCCTCCACCCCCAGCCACTCCTGCAGCTATCTCCTTCCCAGACCCCACCTCCCCACCCTTAACCCACTCCTGCACTCTACCTTCCACTCAGACCCGCACACACACACACACACCCCAACTTGTTACTGAGAACCCCCTTCCTGCATACTGAACCTCTCATTTTTGGCCCCACCCTAGAACCTAAGTGGCCCCACAAAATCTACTAGCTCCAGACACCTAGAAGAGTTAACCTAACCCTGTTTGTATCATCTGATCTATGCAAAGGTGTGATGCAGGCCAGAGTATCTGCTTTGGATGTTGTAAAAGAAAACACTGTTACATTTTAAGGTAAACATCAGGCATATTTATTTCCAGGACCCCAGCTACTTACGTATTGAGTTTTTGCTTCTTTTTTCAAAAGAATATCCATGATCTTTGTATGATTTTTTTCCCTGGATTTTTCCAAATGGGTAAATAATTGAGACTAGTATTGTTGCTATGGGGGGGGGGGGGAACCCCCCACAAAACTTTGAGTTTAAGAATAAAATCTTTAAAATGAATCAGTTGTGCTGTGTAGAATTACCACTCAAGAAAAGAGTTGGTTACACACAGTATGTAACGCTACTTCTCTGAACTTAGAATGTAGAAACATATATGTACATTTCTTGTAAACAAAAATAATTTAAAAATCAAAACATGGCATATGTAAGTATAAAATTGTCAAAATACTTTAAAATTGGCATTCAAGGCTGTTATATGCACAGATGCTATTTGAACTCCTGAAACATTGTTTCCCTGTGAAAGTGTGCATCTTTTGGATTATATCAGTCTTTGGTTTGCTCTTAATTAGCAATTTATATTATAAATTCAGATAGATCTTTAAACAGCTATATTTGATGTCAGTAACTAAAAATAAAATTAATCGTTAAATTTAAAAATCAAATACTAAAGACTGTATTATTAAAGAGAGCAAACTGTTTTGTTTGAAACTGATATAAGCACTAAATCCAATTACATTATTTTTAATAATTCAATCTAAATCTCGTTATCTTTGTTATTTGTACGCACTGTCCTGTACCCCATCAATTTCCATCTTGCTGCTGTTCTATCCTAGCAGTAACCAACTTTGATCCATTGCAGAAAACTTGTATTAACTCTTTCTGAATGTTTAGCAACAAAATGTGATATCTTTTTCTTATCTGTAAGGGAAAGTTTTATGAAGCAGTTTATTGATCGTCAGCAGCAGGATACAAGCTGCTTATTGAGAAGACTCCCTTCAGCATCTTCTTCCTCATGTGATCATTCCAAAAGATCTGCAATTGAAGAGAACAAGTATATTGACCAAAAGGTAAATACCACAATATATAACAATATATGTTCTTCATTGTTTTAAACATATGCTGTTAGGAAATACCACAAATTGTACAAACAGCAAGGATTCCTATGACACCTTAAAGAGAAATAGATTTATTTAGACATAAGCTTTCATGGATAAAAAACAGTTCATCAGCTGCATCTTACCTCTCTCCCAGACCTTGCAAGCTCACCTGTTGCTTGTCTAAATTGTCACTGCTCCCTTAACTTCATTTACGCTCAGATATTTTACAGAAATTGTGGCTCTGCTAGAGTAGATTTTTTTTATAAAAATGCACCCATTTTTCTGAGCATCATATTTTTAAAATTTATTTGGTACAAGTCACTTTCAAACATGGTTGAAATCGAGATTTTTTTAAATTTTGAGCTTTCTCTCTATCAATAATTATCATGCCATAGTAGCAAAGTCTTGGAGCTATGTTAAAAATACAAATAATTTCATACAAATCATTTTCTAAACTTTTACAAAAGTTTAGCTCCTTTTTATGTGTGTGAATCATCAGCAAATTGTTTCTGATATTTACTTATACATGTGATCACTTGTTATATTGAACACAGAAATGCACACATGTATAAGCTGATATTTGTACACTAAATTAGGTGCATACAAGACAATAAAAATGGAAAACAGAAGAACCTTCAGATAACATAGTGGGTTGGCAGGATATAATCAATGTGAAGTAGGATATGCCTGGGTACTTAATGTGAGCATGGTGGAGAAAAAGGTAACCAAAATGCAAAGTACTGGTTACTTTAAACCTATTTTTTACAAATGACTTTTTTCATGACCAGCAGATCCTATACTTTGCAGTACCAACTGATCCAAAGTGGACTGCAATAAAACATCTGACACCAATCAGGGGAAAGTGCAAATACCAGCTCTTATGATGGCTGAAAACGATCCACCCATAGTACGGCACTAGAAATATTGGGTTAGATCAAAAGCTGGTGTTAATAAACCCAAGACTGTTGAGGTCATATAGAACTATGCAAAATTATGCTGGGGATGTGTCCATTAACTTGTAATAGGAAACTTAGGCTTAATCTCTTCGGTCTGAAAATGTGAATATCCTGGTATTATAGGTGAACTGTACTGGGAAGGTTAATATACAAGGAGAAAATCAATGCAAATGTAAATAAATCAAGGTGAAGGTAAATAGTAAAGATGAGCTGCAGTGTTTTCAAAGAGTAACATCCTTACAAAGGCAGCAGAATGCACAAATAAACATAGCTGTTATTTCACCCCAGTTTTAATATTCTTACTCCTTTTGCATTTTTGTTTGTTTTGTTTTTGTACGTAGTTACTGTTTTTTGTTAATTTCCTCTGTTTTTGTAAATTCTAACATTCACTGGGCTGGAAATATCAGAAACAGACAAGAATGTAAGAATATGTGAAAAACAATGCATCAGTTAATAATGAAAAATAGCTTTAGATAATTCTCCATCAACAGGCCTCTAATACTCTCTCCAATAACAAAACTAAATATTACAGATGTGTCACGCCCTGAGTGTGTTGAGCTAGTGAGCAAGATGTTGGTGAGCACATGGCAGTAATTTTGCACCTGTTAAACAAAATACAAATAAAGAAGTGTTTATTTGAAACATTGTGGATTATTTTTAACACAGAACTGAAACTGATTTACAGCCCCTAATAATACATTTGCTGATATAATACTGATATCACAATGATATTTTACAGCAACACAACTTATATAAGAAACTAAAAAATGTTATCCTTTAGAGTTCCAATTTCTGTATGGTAAGAAGTGAACTTTTCATATTCTTGGAAGAGCAAAAAGTGTCCATGTTTCTTATAAAACCTTAAGAAAGAAATATTTGATTAGTTTAGCCACTGTGCTTTCATATTATCCTCTGAAATGGTAATGAAACAAACATTTTCCTACAGAATAGTCTTGTGCAACAAATCATATAAGCTTCAGTTCCAAAATGGGTGCATGATATGAGCATGTGAGTGGCCCTGTTGACTTAAGGGGACTACTCACATGTTTACAGAAAAGCTCATGCTCAGATATTATGCTAAATGGGAGCATTAATTCCTATTTCACTCTGTACTCAAATCTAACCCATCTTGACCATACTTGCAGATGGACACATAAATTGTGTACATGTTAACTGAAAAGTTTGTTCAATAAGATTTTCAAATTTAAAAATAATGTAAGTTTTGGTTTTCCCCATTATTTAGCCAACTGCAAGAACAAGTATAGATAAATTGAATTTTGGTTTTGTCTTGAAACAAATACAGGTTGAACCTCTATAGTCCAGCACCCTCAGCACTTGACTGGTGCCGTACCAAAACATTTGCCGAACCACAGGAGGTCAATATTGTCTAGCAGCATTACCAACACTTCCACTGCTTACTAGGCTCTTAGAAGACATTTAGGGATAAATTAGAGCTAAATAACAGCACAAAACACTGAGAGCCAGGACTGGTGGCTGTAAACAAACTTTATGAGATTTTGGGAAACTTGGTCACACCCCTGATAAGTGGACATCTGGCTAACAAAATCATCAAAATCTTGCTGGACCATGGATGTTGCTGGACCAGAGTGCCAGATTATAGAAATTCAGCCTGTATTCATGAATTATTTTTGTTATGCATCCAAAAAATGCTGATTATTTAGGTGGGAAATATAAGTATAATTTCTGGTCAGATGTTGCATGCAACTGGGTGTTTACACACTCAGGAAAGAAGCAAGAGAGAACTAGATTGAATTAAGTCAGAGCAATTACTGTGGCTTTCTACAGTTACAGTTTCCACGGCAACCTCACATTTGTGTGAATCAATTTTCTTAAAAATATCTTATCCCTAAAGCAAGCATAAAATGGTTGCTTTAAAAATACAAACATTGTATGCATACTTTACATTCCTGTGTCAAAAAGAAACATTATTATACATTTAACTCATACCAATGTGGGTTACAGGAGTCAAAGTAAGAAATCCTGCAGCTTGTAATTATTTCAATATTATGTCGAAATAACTGCTTGCTGTGTAAACACAGACTGTGTTATTTCAGAGTAATGTCAGTTATTCCAAAATAACATGGCTGTGTAGACATAGCTAAGATGACAGTGTAAAAGTCAGGTTTGGAACCAAAAGATAGGGGTCTGCTAACATTGTTGCTCTTCCCTCCACCTCCGTCTTGTCATATCTGTAAAATAGCTAACTATGCCATTTCCTCTTTGAACTATGTCAGCATTTCTGTGTTCTACACCTACTGAATTGATAGGCAGCACTTAATTTGTGTTACTTATTTGCTTACATACACTTTAGAGATTTTCTTTCCTTTTGATCTCTGGTTTGGTGACGTACTTACTGACATTTATATTCAATAACAAAATGACATGCAATTCACTATAATGTGAATCACAATTTATCTCCTTTGGTCTCCTGCAAAGTTGACACTGCAAATAAATCTTCTCAGTCCCAAAGTTATTTATTTCCCTTCAAGGATTTTCTCCAGTTGTAAAGGGGCTTGCACTTCACTCCTTACATTTTATGACTCTTACCTATTCTAAAGCTTTGGCTATATGTAGGCATTATGTTTAGGAAATAAGTTAACTCTTTCCAAAGCGATAGAAATTTGAATATTCCTATGACAGTAATTTATTTGTAACAAGTATTATTGTGTGTAAGGTATACTTTCCTCAAATAAACCTTATAATCTAACATTGACTTCTGATAAAATGTCTTTACCCATATACATTCTCATTACCTGGTAACAACAGTTGATTTGAAGCTGTATCATCTCACGAATCTCTCAGAAATTATAATGAAGTTCCCTAAAATAGTTTTCTCAATCCTACACCTCGCTTTTTGGTAAAGGCAATATTTCTATATAGATATTTTTTTCAGTTCTTCCATCTAAAATATCAAAATGTCTGCTATTTCAGAAAATCTTCTGTAGATGTGGTAGGATTCTCAATGGGAGAAAGAGGAATATGAGAAGAAGAGGATAATGGGAAGACAGGGTACAGCTTTGACTGAGTGGCAAGACACTTTGTCAGGAACTCATTCATCTGTGGCTTTGATTGGTAAGAAGAGGATAGCATATAGATCAGAGGGGATCAACAAAAAATTTGGAGAAGGGAAATCCAGGTAGCAAGATTTTGGACTGTGGAGAAAAAGGGGGACAGAGAGGTAAGATGAGAGGCAGACAGGAACATTAGGTATAAATGAAGGAAGCTTATTACAAGTGAGGCCTAGAATTATACTCAGGGACACCATTAATCCAAATTAAACTGTTCTTTTTACAGTCTTCCTCTGGATAGTTGTGTTTTTAAAGTGCTGATCAGCATAGTGCAACGCATCATATACATATCTGCTCTTCCCATATTAGACTATATTCTGAGAGACCAATTTTTGTAGTTACCATCAAACACAAATGAAATTTGGTGACTAACAATTTCTGGTGCTCTTTGGATCCCCTCCTTTTCACTTCAGTGTTCTCCTTCACTAGTGTTCTCCTTGAAATTGTTAAGTCTGTGGGGCAAAACACAAGTGTAAAGATCACCATCCCTCTATTTCTGTAAGGAGAGAGAATGCAGATACGACATTTCATAGAAGAGAAGAATGCCTATTCTGTAGCATGGGTCCCCCCACCACCCTCCAACAATAGAAGCTCACCCATGGGAATCAAGTTCAGTGGATGAAGAGGAGGGAAGATTTAAGGGTGGCAGAAATGCCAGATCTTCCCTCAATCCCTGAGGAACATCATAAATAAAATTATGTTAATCTTATCGGCTCATAATCTCTCTATTATACCTGGTAATGTTCCAGAGAACTCTTAGTTTCATGGTTTCTGTAGGAGCAGCAAACACTGATGAGTAGCCCAAGCCACTTTGTCAGGGTGGGGCAATAAGAGCCTATGTCTTAGGCCTATGGTCAGGGCCGAGCAGCACACACTGATAGCCCAAGCCCTTACTTAGTGAGGGGCAAGATGAGGAGATGGCTTCAGCCAGAGGTCAGAGTTGAGCTGCAAGGGGTTTGGGCATCCCCTTGCCCTGGCAGATGGCCGACAAGCACTGGCTTCTTGGCCTAGAGAGGGGGAAAACTTCTAGCCCAGGATTGGGGTGGTGTGTGGGGACGCAGGCCCACACACTCCACTGACCACAACATGTTGACCTAATCTCCAACTGCACTGCAGCCAGACTGGGGACTGCTGTCTCTGGGCCACTTCCCAGCTCTCCTTGGGGTGTACCTGGGGGTGTAGAAGGCCCTCCAGCTTGTCCAGCTTATCATGGCAACTCTTCCATGATCTGGACAGGACAGAGCTCTGGTGAGTGTGCTCAGTCCTCAGCTCCACAGGTGCCTGCGGCAGTCTGCCAGCTCAGGAGTAGGTAGAAGGTGTCTGGCTCATTCATCAGTGGAAGCCCAACTAAGCTCCCAGACCCACCTTTGTACTTACTGCTCCACCCAACCACCAAACCCTTCTGGTGGGAGGGTTGATCATGGCCTGTCTCTGCCCACCAGAGCTCAGTGAGTGATTTTCTTCCTCTGGCTCTATGGGAGGTCACATTGCCTGCCTTACAAGAGGGGCATACCTAATTTTTGTGCTTTAGAAGAACATACCACCTACATCCTTAGGTGTTCAATTACCTTTGACAATGTAACCCCAAATGCCTAGCTGTCTATCTATCAAGAAGAAATATATCAGCATATGTGCAATGTGCCCAGCCATTTGATGGCATCATTATTAGCAAGGTTGAGAGCCAATAGCCCACCATGGAACTAAATCAGTAGGCATGTGAATGAAGAGGCACAAAAGAATCAATGTTACTTAACAAATAAATAATATATGAATTTAAAAGGTGACCTTCAGGATGTTTTGGGGTGAGTTTGAAGGCCAGAAGTCCCCAAAATGTAATTTAACTTTAAGCTAAGTGGTAGTTTCTGTCCAAACCGAGATAAAATGTTCTAATTATTTGTTGAAAATTTTGCTGGTATATTACATGAACTTTTACATATTTTCACCCTAAATACAGATTTTACATTTTAAATAATAGATATAATATACAGTAAGCTCTTCCACTATGCTATATACTACTTGTCAAATACCTGACTCCCAAGGAAAACACTCATGGTGAATGCTATTTTGTCACTTGCATTCCTAGGACAGAACAGAAAAATAGTTCCATATGGTTTCATGGGAAATAGTAATTACATTTAAAATACTGCATTGTTATTAATATTACATAACTGCAAACTCCTAATGCTTAGAAGAAAACTTCCAAGGTTACTATAGAGAAGTATATTACATCCACCTTTTCTGGCCATATCAGTACTCCCCAAAACATTCCAGCAATTTATACTTCATTGTCCACTATGAATCCAGTTATTTTATTATAAAACACCCACCTGCACTAATCTTCATGCTTCTGTTAACAATTTCCTGTTGGTGTAATATGAACATTAATATATTGTAATTTGCACTTTCCCTGGTTCTATAAAATTTAGTATAGAAATTATCTCTGTGCTGTTCTCACTGGAAAATGTTCCTAGGACATATAAATATAGCAAACTCTGAATACCCTGAATACCCTTATTAGCATTTTGCAGTATTTAATATAACTGGACCTGATCCTCAGTGGAAGTCACTGGAACTATGCCATTTTACATGAGCTGAGGAACTGACCCGTAATCATTAGATCTGAGCTTGAGTTAATAATAAATTACTATTTTTGTGATGCCTAGATGTTTATTTCATGAACTTTTTTTTGTCCAGGAAGAACAGCCTTGAACTTTTACAATTGTTATTTAATTTTTTTTAATAAGTTTTCCTTTAATATGTGTTTAATACCCTTTAAAAGCAGCAGATGGCACTGCACAGCAATATTCCTTGGTGATTTTTTTCAATGGTGTATGCTATAATGATTTGTTGCACATTTTGAGTGGCTGACTTGGATAATCTTACACCTTTTGGGAAAATGACTCTTCCTTAAAATTGAAAATAAAAAGTCAGACTTTCACTGTCAGGATCTGGTATTTTTGGCTGTTTTAAAGCCACACTGTCAGTGACAGTAGAGAAATGTGCCAGCACTTCTTGATGGAACATTAGAGACAGATCAATGATTTCTTAATTCTGTGTTCTCAGGCAGCACTTGCACAAATCAATTCTTAGGAATCAAGAGAAGAGGCCTGATAATTATTTCCTGGTAGCCTGTGTTTTCCATGACATCCATCTTAAATCCTTTTATCGTGAAACTTTCAGAGTGGTTTGTTGACCTTCACAGCTGCTCTACTCCGATTACAGTAACCTGCAGGAGTTCTTTAAAATAAATGCTCTTAAGAACATATTTAACAATAATCAGATATTGTAGGCAAAAGGAAGGTACTTTCGTCCACTGAGAAATAATAATACAATATAATAAAAGGTTATGCAACACTGTAGTCAGTGCACTGAGCACATTTATGGGCTGTATAAAAAAACAAATAAATAACTAATAACTATATACTTATGGAGTGTTCAAAGCACTTTAAAGTATATATTAAAAGAAATAGCAGGCTAAATCAATATAAGCTAAAATAATATTTATAGCGTATAATGTACTTAAATCCGTGTCATGTGATCAAGTATTGTCTTTTCTGCATTGTAGCTATTAATAATTTCCTCTACACTCTGCAGGCATCACAAGTTTTTAATTGCCACACTCCTTAGGTACCAGCATGCCACCTGAAGACATTATTAAATGAAGCAGCAATCATCAATATGTTCTCGCTAACAGTAATGTTACATTTTTTTCTGTGACACTATGTAAATTTGGATGGAAACTAAAGTAGGGAGCATCTTGGTTTAATTATCTAATATATAAAATAACGTAGGAAAAAATACTAAATGTGTACAAAACTGCAATGCTTTCCTAAATGAGGTTTTTTTCCTGGTGGGCTCATTAGTAACATAAATTGATTGAATCTCAACTACCACTTTTAAATATGAGAAATGAATAATAATGAATAATTTGGGCACATCTAAAGAATTCTTCCTCAAGGTTGTCCCTCCCAGATATTGTTGGCCAAATCTTCAAAAATATACACTTTGGCCACAGCCAAAGGCCAAGGCCACAGCCATTAGTGAAGAATATGCTCAACTTCACGGTATAAGTAATCTTATTGACTTTGACTAGGCTACTTGCATCACATAAAGTTAAAGATGTTTGTAAGCGTGTGCTGAATGAGGGCCTAAGATGTCCACAGCTAACGTCCCCCAGGTTTTGTTTTGTTTTTCTCAACAACTTTCCCCCCGGAGTACCGGTACCTTTTTTTCTTACAGAAAAAGCACTGGTTATATCTAAATCTATCACATGATACCATGTCCATAAATCCACTTAACCTATTGAGTTATTGAGAATCAAATTAAACCCAGATGTGCACATACTCATATATACAATACTAGCAGATGTAGCGGGTGTTGCTTGGGTCCTTAACTCTAGTAACAGTTTTTGGTTTGTTTTGTTTTTGTATTGTAGGGGGGGGATAAAAGATAAATGCACATCTTTATTTAAATAATTGTGTAGGACGGGGTTGGCAGGTGTAGAGGGGGGGCTCACGCAGGGACTAGAGATTCAGGAGTCAGCGCAGGGGTTGGGAGGCTCAGGACGGGAGTGGGAGTACAGGAGTCAGGGCAGGGGGCTGGCAGGGGTAGGGGATTGGGTCTTTGGAGGGGCTCAGGGCAGAGAGTAGGAGAGGGGAGCCCAGACCAAGGGGCTCATGGCAGGGAGTGGGAGATCTGGAGGAGCTCGCTAGGGCCACCTGGGGCTGCAGTGGTCTGGCAATGATGGGGTGGAAGGACTCGCTGGCCTAGTGGTGGCAGCTCCCCAGAGCTCCCTCCCCCCATCTGGTGCTAGAGCTGAAGGCAAGGAAGGGATCGGCAGTGGGGACATAGGGTTCCCCCTGTAGTGGGCTGAGGGTAGTAGTTTGGGCTGCCCCTGTGGGGCATGGAGGTCATCGGGGCTGGGGGACCATGCCCAACACAGCACAGGAATCTTACCCATGGATGCTGGCCAGTAACATACAGAGCCCCTCCCCCAGCCTGCTACTGTCTTACAGGTGCAACCACCCTCTTGTGATCATTCTGCAGTATAACGGTGGCTGCTAGCAGACCCTCCCTTCGCATTGTATGAGAAACAATCACATTCTAGGCACATCCCATTTTCTGGGCACAACCAAACCCTGACCTCACTTTAAGTTATGATAAGAGGAAATTGCATACCAAATTTGGTGGTCCTGGCTCTTACCATTTAGGAGGATTTTTTGAACAAACAGACTCACAGAAGGATGGACACACAGACAGACCGGAGATGCACACACACTCTAAAATATATAGTAGATCATGAATCCACATCCCAATGCTAAACAAATCTGTTATAAGGAGCCAATACATTTCAGTGCTTTTTGATTTACAGAATAGCCTCCTAATGATATATACATAGAAGAATAATAGAAGATTAGGGGTGGAAGAAAACTCAGGAGGTTAGCTAGCCCAACCCCCTGCTTAAAGTAGGACCAACCCCAACTAAATCATCCCAGTCAGGGCTTTTAAAACCCACTAAGGATAGAGATTCTGCTAACTCCCTAGGTAACCTATTCCTGGCATTATAGAATCATAGAAACGTAAGGCTGGAAGGGACCTTGAGAGGTCATCTAGTACAACTCCCTGTGCTGAGAAAGGACCCAAGTAAACCTGGACCATCCTAACAGACATTTGTACAACCTGTTCTTAGAAATCTCCAATGATGGGAATTCCACAGCTTCGCTTGGAAACTTATTCCAGTACTTATCTTTATAGTTAGAAAGTTTTTCCTAATATCTAACTTAAATCCTATTTGTTGCAAATTAAGCCCATTACTTCTTGTTCTACCTTCAGTGGACATGGAGAACAATTGATCAGATTCTTCTGACAGTCTTTGATGTATTTGAAGACTATTATTAGTTCCCTCCCTCAATCTTCTGTTCTGAAAACTAAATGTGCCCAATTCTCTAACCTTTTCTCATAGATCAAGTTCTGTAAAACTTACCTAATTTTTCTTGGTCTCCTCTGGATTCTTTCCTGAAATGTGGTACCTAGAATTGGACAGGGTATTTCAACTGAGGCCTTACAAGTGCTGAATAGAGTGAGACAATTACTGCCTGCATGTTACACACATGATCCCAGAATGTTGTTAGCCTTTTTTGCAAATGGATCACCCATGTTCAATTTATGATCCATTATGATCCCCAGAATCTTTTCAGAAGTACCATCATCTTGCCAGCTATTTCCCATTTTGTAGTTATTCATTAAATATTTCTTTCCTAAGAAAAGTAATTTGCACTTACCTGATCTCTGAACCCCTTCCAGCATGGTGTCATCTACACAGTTTAGTAGCTTACTCTCCACTCCATTATCTAAGTCAGTAGTGAAAATATTGAATAGTATCAGATCTAGTACTGATCCCTGCAGGATTGCACTAAAAATACCCTCTCAGTTTGACAGAGAACCATCAAGAACTACTCTTGGGCTACATCTAGACTGTCATGATTTTCCGCAAATGCTTTTAATGGAAAAGTTTTTCTGTTAAAAGCATTAGCGGAAAAGAGCGTTTAGATTGGCACGGATGCTTTTGCGCAAAAGCACTTTTTGCAGAAAAGCGTCCGTGCCAATCTAGATGCGGTTTTGCGCAAGAAAGCCCCAATCGCCATTTTCGCCCTCGGGGCATTTATGCGCAAAACAGTTTTTAGCTGTCTACACTGGCCCGGCCCTCTTGCATAAATACATTTGCGCAAGAGGGCTTTTTCCTGAATGGGAGCAGCATAGTATTTGCGGAAGAACACTGACAATCTTATATTAGATCATCAGTGTTCTTGTGCAAATTCAAGTGGCAAGTGTAGATAGCTGGCAAGTTTTCTGCTTTTGCGGACAAACTTGCCAGTCTAGACGCAGCCTTGGAGTATGATCTTTTAAGAAGTTGTGGACCCACCTTATAGTAATTTTATTTAGACCACATTTTCCTAGTTTGTTTATGAGACTGTTACATGAGACTATGTCAAAAGCCTTACTAAAATAAAAATATATCAAGTCTACCTCTTTTCCCATCGGGTAGGCCAGTAAATTGGTCAAAAAAGGAAACATGGTTCTT